TGGCTGTTACAAACAACTCTTATGTGAACAAAATTGTAATACACTTGTGCACATGTGCACTCGGGTATAAAAGTTTCCCCGCCCTATTATGTACATATGTATGTAATAAAATATTTAAATTTGTAAAGTCTTTTATTAGTCTATAAAACATATACGTAATACTTTCTCACATACGTACATATATTTATTACTAATGTAAAACTTTTTTCTAGTATGTAGGTATGTCAAAAAAATAATGACCTTTCTCCGGAACTACCTTCCACCGGTAGTGGTTTTGGAGGGCCTTGTTTTCTCCTGAAAAGTATTTATTATTAGAATATATTTCATAAATAGCTTAATAAATTAACCTTAGGGTAATTTTAGCGAAGACGATACCAAAGATTATTATAGATAGATTTTTATCGATTTAGTTTTCACTATTTTATCTATTTTTTTACAACGCTTTTATCAACTTGCAATGTTGTATGTCCAGACCACCATACTATAAACATAGCAAAGGTATTTACACTGAGAAAAAGGATTAGTTTCGACAACTAAAGATATTTAGTTTCCGAATTTTGACAATATTTGGGAACTGTTACCAAGGATTGGGAACTATTACCATGGGTTGGTAATTATAACTAAATATATTAAAGCTTCTAATATTCATATAGGTTGTAACAAATCGTTAATTTAGTTGAAGGGTTTGGTTAATACTAATAAATATTTCTTTGAAGTATATTTCTACAAATTCCATTGAACTTGAACGTATGGTTCATAAAAGGATGTTATTAAGCTCTGCTAATGCAGATAAGCTTTCTTTCAACACATGGTTTAGTCATAGTTACCAAATCTTGGTTGAGGCATCCACGATTTGGTTTGAGAGTGGAACATATTCATGCTTGTGAGCCACCCCTAAAGAATGCTGAGCGCTCTCTGAGCACATATGTGTTTCACATACGAATAGCTGAGCAACGCACACAGTCCCACTTATTGAATCGTTTGAATGGGCTAGTATGCCGACCATTGCATTGTGCGTGGAAATCATTGCTCCGCTACCGCTGTTCGTATATGGGTGAAACACGCATGTGGTCCCAAAGCTATGGTATGTCGATCGCTGCGCTAGGTAGAAAAAGAAAAGTGTGTGTGTGACATGCACAGAATTGTTTGTCTCAGTTTTTCTATCACCGCGAGTTGTTTCGGTGCGCGCATAGTTATTTAAAAATATAACGTTTGATGCCAACCGAGGTTTTTCAGTGGATATATAATTCATGTGAATTATAATTTGAAAGTATCTATTTAGCCAAGGAAAAAGCAAAGCAGTATACTTCCAGCAGACATTGACCTGGGTTTTCGCACGACTGTTCCTGTATCATCGTTGTTTTTTAGGAAATTCTTACCACCATATACATATGTATTATTTACTTTAGTAACTAACTTATGTAAATATGTACGTATTTTTTATGCTTAATATATGCAAATAAAAGAAGAAAGTAGACACAACAAACATCGAGTAAATTTTTATTTGTGTCAAACTGAAACTTTTTTCCCAATAATAAACGGTTAGCTGATTCAAGTCTACAGCAAGTTCACAAAATTAATTGAAAACTTGTATCAACCAAAGCATTGTTTATATTTGCTCAACAATGACTTTATTCAACTAACAATATTGTCCAATCAAGGTAGTCGTTTTGTAATTATTAACAAATATACATTTTTCCCAACTAGAAGTCTTAAGTAAATTGCAGACTTTCGTGAACTATATATTTATTTCGCCATATCCAACTATGCCACTTGATCACTATAATAAAATCTTGGTTATTATAACTAAACCTTTTTCTGGGTGTATGGCTAACCTAGTCTAGATATCAACCTCGTCATAGGTATCATATCAAAGACATGCAATTAGAAAACCTCTAGAGATAGATGTCGCCTCGCCAGAAGAAGTTAAAAATATGCACTACATACGCTACAGCGGAAATGGACGACACGCCATTTCTTTAAATGAAATTAATTTCTTCCTGTGGAACAGCAGGATTTAACCTTTCAACCGAAGCCAATAGTGTTTACATAATAAACCGTTTTTGCATTTCAAACCTATTTTTGTATTGGCCAACGCAAAAGTTCTTATCAGGCGTCGCGAAGCAAGACAGGCATTTGCTAGTATGCAAATAAAAGAAGAAAGTAAACACAACAACCATCGAGTAAATTTTTATTTGTGTTAAACTGAAACTTTTTTCCAATAATAAACGGTTAGCTGATTCAAGTCTACAGCAAGTTGACAAAATTAATTGAAATCCTGTATCAAACAAAGCATTGTTTATATCTGCTCAACAATGATTTTATTCAACTAACAATATTGTCCACTCAAGGTAGTCGTTTTGTAATTATTAAGAAATATACATTTGTGCCAACTAGAAGTCTCAAGTAAATTGCAGACTTTCGTGAACTAGATATTTATTTCGCCATATCACACTATGCCACTTGGTCACTATAACCAAATCTTGGTAACTGTAACTAAACCTTTTTCTGAGAGTTGCATTAATAGCATGATTGGCTACTTTTGTTGTTGTTCGAACACATGAAACAACAACAAAATTATACAATCGTGCTATTTATGCTATCTATGCACCGTATGCACCGGATGCACTGTAAATATACACTAGTTACCAAATCTTAGTTGAGGCAACCACGATTTGGTTTGAGAGCGGGACATATTCATGCTTGTGAGCAGCGTTGCCAGGTTGACGTTTTTAACGTCATTTGGACGTTTTTTGTATCATGTTGAAGTTTGGACGTTTTTTGTGTAAAAAATTACGTTTTTTAACTTCCCAGTAATTTTTCTTTGTTACTAAATCTTGCAAGAGAAACTGATTTTGAATAAATTTCTTAATAAATCTTTACAATCTTTGTGTTTTGCTGCAGCTGCTTCAAAAGATTTTTTTTTGGATTCCTGGACTAAGGATCCCGTGTTCAAAGGCTGGTTGTGTAAACACGTGAGGTTACGAGGCTTGCTGTAATGTTTGCATTTGCACATTAAAAGCCGAATCAGGAAAAGCCGATCTATTGCAACACGCACGCTCGCAAAAGCATCAAAATAACTGTGCAGCATAAAACGTCAGAAAAAAGTAGGCGACTCTTTTAAGACTACATTGAAAATGTAATGTAATGAACGCAAAAAAGATTGAAATATTGCTATGCTCCTTCCTAGCAGAACGTAATTTAGCATTTTCGACAACCGAAATGTCTACAAGAAACAAATATTAAAAATCAACGCCCCTTTAAACTTGCACATTATTGCCCTGAAATTTAATGGGTTATCAAACTGCATACTCAAAAAAAAATCTCAAAAATTTGAATAAAAAGTTGAAAACCTAGCTGAAAATTTGCAGCTTTTTTATAATTTTTGCACAGTTTTTGTGGATTTATATTTTGTTTGTTAAAGAGCTTGGCTTTTATGGAAAAATAATATAAAATAAACGAAAGAGAAACAGCCAAAATGGATCAAAATGTTGATGACTTAATCAGCTGTGTATATATAAAATTATTTTGATATTAACGATCTCAAACCAGTTTACAATGAATTTTAAATGTGCTCTGTCGAATTGACATTTTAATATACCTTACGTACATATATACCTTTGTACACAATAAAAGTTTAATAAGAACAATTGTGGAGTTCCACACCAAAATGCTACATTTCCATCATAAAAATTTTTTCAGATTGGTGCTTTTACGGCAATCGTGTGATCTCAGCTTTACGTTTTGGTGCGATCGAGTGATTTCAATACGACTCAATAAAGGTTTGGTTGCTTTATCTCGGGTTCTCTGTTAAAATATGGACACATACCAGTACCAGTTTGCATTAACATTTCGAGTTTTGGAAATGAAACGTTTTGGTGTGGAGCTCCACAATTTTTTCTACATTCATTTGAAAAAGACGTTTTTGGGTAGGAAATGACGTTTTTGCATACCAAGAGTGACGTTTTCTCATGACGATGACCTGGCAACACTGCTTGTGAGCCACCCCTAAATAATGCTGAGCGCTCTCTGAGCACATGTGTGTTTCACATACGAAGAGCGCCAGCTGAGCAATGCACACAGTCCCACTTATTGAATCGTTTGAATCCTAGAGTATTTAGATGCATTTCTGCATCAAAAAGAACATTTTGTCGCTTACGTTTTTTGGCCGTTAGGGCTCGATATGTACGTAATGTATATTAAAATGTCATTTCGTCAGAGCACATTTAAAATTCATTGTAAACTGGTCGTTAATGTAAAAATCATTTTATACATACACTTGTGATCAGCAGATTAAGTCATCAATATTTTGATCGATTTTGGCTGTTTCTCTTTCGTTTATTTAATGTTTATTATTTTTCCGTAAAAGCCAAGCTCATTAACATACAAAATATAAATCCACAAAAATTGTGCGAAAATTATAAACAATCCGCAATTTTTCAGCTAGATTTTCAACTTTTTACTCAGAGTTTCTAGAATTTTTTTTGAGTTTGCAGTTTGACAGCCCATTAGATTTCAGGGCAATAATGTGCAAGTTTTAAGGGACTAAATAATCGCGTTGATTTTTAATAATTTTTTTTTTCTTTGTAGGTATTTGGTTAGGTGCTCGGTTGTCAAAAATGTTAAATTACGTTCTGCTAAGAAGGAGCATAGCAATAGGTCCATTCAATATCAAAAAATTGTTACGAACTGTTGCTAGTACTTGCAAGTTTTTACCAGGAATGCATTCTGTTACAACTAGAACGTTGTTGAGTTGCAATTTATAAAAGTTTATTTGAAAGTTAAAGGAAACAGATTACAATTATGAAATTAGAAAATAATTAAGGTTAAGCAGGCACACGTATATCGCTGTCGTCACTTCAGTGTCCGGGTTGCAAGCCACTCTCTCACATCTCACCGAGTGCAGGGTTGCACTCTCAATACACATTTTGCTATTTATTTGCGGGATGCCAACACCTCCCCTTTTGAGTTGGTTAGCTTTAGCTTAACCCGGAACAAACCTCTCCACGGGTCGGCGTAAGCGCTGGGGTCGCTTTGTTGGTGTTGCTCTGTTATCTTCGTATTGCGCTAGAGGGTTATCATTCGATAGTGTATCTCTGTTATCTTCGAATTGCGTTGCAGGTGCATTATTAGGTTGTAAAGTTGCACGAGATGATCCACTCCCACAATGTACAGATGCATTTTTCTCATTTTCGTACAGTCCGAAAGCGTCGATTAGCATTTTTGAAGAGTTCATCTCCTTTTTCGTAGATTGCTCGGGACTGTCACAAAATCGTTGGCGCAATTGATTAGCATGTGCTCTTATGAGCTTCTGATTGTCAAGTAATACGTTATACATCACCTTGCCAACACGTTCGACTACCTTTCTAGGCATCCATTGAAAGCTGTTGTTGTTTGTGTGAACGCAGGCATAAACAGTATCTTCACTACAGAACGACTTTTGTTTAGCCCCATGCTTCCGGTCGAACTGCTGCTTCATACGATGTTTTTGGTGGACTAACTCGAACTGAGTATCACGCAATGCTTTCGGCTTTAGCAGATCTAAGTTGGTGCGGATATTTCTGCCTAGCAAAACTTCAGCTGGTGACTTGTTGTCAGTGTTGTTTTTGTTTGGTGAGGCTCGATAGCATTGCAAGAAAACTTGTAAGTTTCGGTTCGTCGTTCCCTTCCTTCTAGCTTTTTGAGAGCTCGTTTGAAAGTATCGACGAATCTCGCGATAATGTGTAATGCCGTTCTCCAATAGAAACTGTTGAAAATGTGCACTAGTAAACTGCGTTCCATTATCGGATACTATGGTTGACGGGAGACCCAAGCGCGAAAAAATTTCATTGAGGATGTCAACTGTTGGCTGTGTCGTTATTGACTTAGTTGGAATTACTTCTGGCCACTTTGAGTAGGCATCAATAATTACCATGAAGTAATAACCGTTGACTGGTCCTGCATAGTCAATATGTAAACGCTGCCATGGCGCTGAGGGCTTTGGCCAGGGTTGCAACGTTGATTTTGTAGGCATTTTTGCTGCTGAGGCGCAATTGTTACAATTTCGTACTAATGTTTCGATATCGGAATCTATATGTGGCCAGTAAACAAAGCTCCTAGCGATTGCTTTGGTGCGCTCGATACCTGGATGACCACGATGTAGTTGTTTGAGAACTCGTTTGCGCAGTACTTGTGGTACCACTACGCGCTGACCCCAGATGATACAGCCATCGATTATGCTTATCTCGTTTTTCCGATTTAAAAATGCTTGTAATTCGACGTTACCGTTATTTGATGCTGGCCAGCCGGTTTCCACGTAATCAAATATATGTTTAAGAATTTTGTCTTTACCTGATTCGTACTTGATCATCCTGTGCGTAACTGGCAATTTGTCTATCGTGTCTGACAAAATTTGTTTGATTTCACCTTCAAACTTCACTGATGGAATGATGTAATCTTCGGATGATTTGCTGCTCTTGTTGATAAGCCGGGAGAGCACGTCGGCATAGCCGAAGCTACTCGTAGAGATAAAGCTGATTTCAAAATCGTATGCCAACAACTGCACAGCCCATGTTGTTGTTGTTGTTGTAGCGGCTACAACAACCCCGCCCAGATCGGTTGGTATCTCAGTCGTTGTCGTCAAGTTCCACTAACGGCAACCCTAGGAAGCGTGCAGCTTCTGCGGGGTTTGCCCATAGGGACAGGCCGTTAGGGTTGTCGGGTTTTCCGGGCAGGCGAAGAGATGTTTCGAGTCATGTGGGGTCTCTCCGCATGCCGGACATTCGTTCGGCACATCCTCATTCAACCTACTCAAGTAGGAGTTTAACCTGCTGTAGTAGCCGGAGCGAAGTTGTGCGAGTGTAGTGCGTGTCTCCCGAGGCAGATGAAGCTCCGTCTCGTCTATGTCCGGGGGTGGTGTGCCTAGAACGGCATTCACAGGTCTAGAGTCTACATAACTCGAGACTGAGTCCCTGTGAATGCCGTTCAGGGCCGCCTGTCTGTAAGCTGTCGGGTCCAGAGGTTGCTTAATGAACCACTTCTGTGGCTCCCGATCAGGAACTGCTTGCAGGGCATTATATTATGCTCCTTTACCGGGAGCATTTGCGCCTCGCCGTGCAGGTGGTGTTCAGGCGACATCAAGAGGCATCCCGTCGCTGTCCTGAGTGCGGTGTTTTGTACAGTCTGTAGCTTCGTCCACTGCTTCCTACTAGTCCCTGGCGACCACACTGGCGCTGCGTAGTTCAAAACCGGCCGGCCTATTGCCTTGTATGTTGCCAGCAACGTTTCTTTGTCTTTGCCCCAAGTACTGCCGGCTAGCGACTTGAGGACCTTGTTGCGGCTCTGTACTTTATTGACAATAGCGGTTGAGTGCGCAGAGAAGGAGAGCAGGCTGTCGAATGTTACTCCGAGTATTTTGGGGTTATTCACCGTCGGAATTGGTGTGTCATCGACGTGAATCCCCAGCGGTAGCCTGACCTCCTTCGTCCAGGTTGTGAACAGGGTCGCGGAGGATTTCGTAGGGGAGAGGGCTAGACACTTTGCAGTAAAGAAGCGAGAAAGTTCGGAGAGATAGCCGTTTACTTTCGAACACAGGTCATCAATTCCATTCCCAGTCGCCATGATCGAGCAATCGTCGGCATAGGAGACAATCGAGACTCCCTCTGGTGGTTGAGGGAGCTTTGAAATATAAAAGTTAAACAGTAGCGGGGAAAGGACACCACCCTGAGGAACCCCCTGTTTTATTTTTCGCTGCTTACTCGTTTTGTCTCTAAACATTACCGACGAATGTCGACCACTCAAATAATTTGCCGACCACCGTTTGAGCCTCTGTGGGAGATAGGAGGCCTCTATATCTTCTAGTAGCGTGGAATGGCAGACGGTGTCAAACATCTTTGACAAGTCCAACGCTTCTAGAATCGTTCTCTCACAGGGACGGTTACGGTTAAGGCCACGAGTTATCTGAGTGTTTATGGCGTTAAGTGCTGTTGTTGTACTGTGCACTTTACGGAAACCATGCTGATGCTTCGCTGGGGTCAGGTGATTTGTGAAGTACGGGAGTAGCAAGGCCTCGAGTGTCTTCGCTACCGGGGAAAGGAGTGTAATCGGACGATACGAATCTCCTTTGTTGGCAGGTTTCCCCGGTTTGAGCAGTGGGACCACTCTCCCCACCTTCCAGATGTTTGGGATGATGAGAGTGGCCATTGACAAATTGAGGATCTCCGTTAGGTACGCTACCCCCGTAGGACCCAAATTTTTCAGCATCAGCATGCATATTCCGTCGGGACCCATGGCTTTGGAGGCTTTCGCCTTCCCGATGGCCACCTGAACTTCACCGCAAGTGAAAGCAAGGGGGGCACAAGTTGTTGGCAGTTTGTGCAGCCTTCTGGTCACTCGACGCTTGGCTTTGTCCACCGGAGGATGCAGTATGAACTGCCGGCTAAAATAGCTCGCGCATCGCTCCGGGTCCGACGAAGCATGGCCGCCGAAGGAAATTTCGACTCTGTCGTCGTGCTTCGTCGGATTAGACAATGACCTCACGGTTGACCAAAGCTTGCTCACACCAGAGGTGAAGTTACAAGTCTTCAGATGCTCCTCCCACTTCTTCCGCTTATGTACGTTTACAAGTTGCCGAATCTCCGCGTTGAGATCCCTGATACGGGGATCTCCGGGATCGGCCTGACAAAGGCTATCACGCTCATTGGCTAGAACAGCCGCTTCGGCAGGGAAGTTTGGACGTGGGTCCGATATACACCCTGCCGGTATGAAGCGAGCTGCAGCAGCAGTGATAGCTCTGCGGAACTTACGTTCACCGAGATGGACGTCGGTTGGTGTGGGGAGCGATGCGAAGGTGTTTTCGGTAAACTCCGCGTTACCTTTCCAATCAGCTTTAGAAAAGTTGATATAGGTCCGGTGTTTGGCGGAGGCAAAGTCGGTTGGTTTATCAATCGAGATGACTATGGGTAGATGGTCTGATGCTAGAGTCAGCATACGTCGCCACGTTATGCTGTTTATCAGACCAGCGTTGAATATTGTGATGTCTGGCGAGCTACTGCAGTTACCCATAATCCTTGTGGGTGCGTCGTCGTTCATTGTGCAGAATGTCGAATCGTCTATCTGCTCAGCCAAGTCTGTTCCCCTACGATCGTTTTACAGGCTTGAGTGCCAAAGATCGTGGTGCGCATTAAAGTTACCTACTACCATACGGTTTTCACCTCTTTCACGGTGTGGTGCGTGATGAACGCTAAGCCACCACCATTATCTCGCTCGCGATCTCGACGGTGCACGTTGCACCCGGCGCAATTCAACAAAGTTGAATTGCTGTGCAACTTCGTCTCTTGGACCGCAGCTATTAATATACCATGCCGACACATGAAGACGGTTATCTCCTCAATCTTGCTCTGTAGCCCGTTACAGTTGAATTGAAGGAGCTTCATGTGGTTCGGGAGACGTGTCGTGATGTGGGGTGTGAGTGAGGTGTATGCTCTTGCCGCCGTTGGCTGTGTGTGCTGCTGAGGTGATTGCCGCCCTGTGGTGGTGGTGGGGGGCGTCGCAATTGGAGTCTGCGACCGAGCAGCGCAACACGGGCCCTCGAAGTTCCCCGTCCAATCTCGCGTGGTATGCAGACCTGAGCATGCCCTAAAGTGGCACCAGCCAAGTCAGGTGTTGCACTTGACTGATGTCACATTACGGAATATCCTGGTCTGGCATACCATGCAGATTGTAGGGGGAACCAGGAGTTGTTGGCGGCGGCGTGTGGGTGGTGGTGCGGTTGTGTGTGTTATGTGGTCTGTAGTGGCTGTGGTACGGTCTGTGGTGTTATTTTGTCGTTGTGTTGTGGTGACTGTGTGGCTGCTGTGTGAGTGTGTGGGGCTGCACGGGCGGACTATGGTTAGCCGTGGAGGCTGCTGTATTTGAGCAACAGGGGGCCACGTACGACGTGGTCCACTGTCTGTGTGTCCGTAGTCCCGAGCAGACCCTGAGGTGACACCACCCCTCGCAGGCATTACACTTGACTGAGGTGGAGTTATGGTGTAATCGTCTTCGGCATACACAGCAGGTGTATGTTTCTGGCCCAGGGTTTGACTCGATGCCAGCCCTGAGTAGGAGAATGCGTAGTGAATGTAGCCCTATGGACGGACAACTTCTAAGATACTTCGCCGACCTAACCGGGGTTAGATCGCCGAAACAACAGCCCTTGGTCGGGTGAAACCCGAGTCATTCCGGTACGTAGAACCGGCTGTCGTGGCACAGCCCATCTTTGAAGTCGGTTTGCTTGATGTGCCGAAATTCCAGTTTTCTTACCGAAAATGGCGAGCAAAGGCTTGTGGTCGGTATGAAGCTTAAATGCTCTGCCGAAAATCATCTTATGAAATTTAGTGACCGCAAAAACTAATGCGAGGCGTTCTTTTTCAATTTGGCTGTATGCCTTTTCAGAAGGAGTAAGCGAGCGCGATGCGTGGCTGACAGCTTTGACTGAGCCATCGGGAAACTCATGCATAATGCAGGCCCCTAGTCCGTAGTTTGACGCATCCGCTGCAACGATGATTTTCTTTTGCGGATCGTAATGCGTCAAAAGCAGATTTGAGGAAAGTATTTCTTTAAGACTGTTAAAGCATTTTCGATGAGTTTGAGTCCATTGCCACTTCGTGTTCGCGTTCAAAAGTTCATCAAATGGACCTCTGAGCTGACGCATTTTGTTTATGAACTTCCCGTAAAAGTCTATGGCGCCAAGAAACGAACGCAGTTCAGCGATATTGTTTGGCTCTGGCATGCCATTGATTGCTGAGACACGCTCCGTATCTGGCTGAAGTCCGTATTGACTAATTATATAGCCCAGATACCTAACTTCAGTCACTGAAAACCTGCATTTGGCGAATTTGAGTTTGAACCCATAATCTTGACTTCGTCGCAAAACTTCGTGCACGTTCCTGTCATGTTCGCTTTGATCTCTTCCAGATACGAAAATATCATCGATATACGCTGCGGCGTATTCCAGACCAATAAGCATTTTGTCCATGACTTGTTGAAAGATGGCAGGAAAAGTTTTCACGCCAAAGATCATGCGATTGTAGCGGAATAAACCCAAGTGCGTATTGATTCTAAGAAGTTCCTTTGAGCTTTCATCTACCTCAATTTGGAGGAAAGCATCAGAAAGGTCTATATGGCTAAAATATTTAGCGTTCGCTAGCTTTGCAAAAATGTCTTCAGGTAGAGGGAGCGGGTACTGATGTGTTTCGAGAGCGGTGTTTAAACCTGTTGAGAAGTCGGCGTAAATGCGTATGCTGCCATTGGACTTCTTTGTAACGACAATCGGCGCAGCCCACTCGGAGTAGTTGACTGGTGAGATGACATTAACGTCTTGAAGTCTTTGCAATTCTTCCTCAACGAGATGCTGTATAGCATAGGCTACCGGTCGCTTTGGTCGAAAAATTGGTTTATGGTCGGGTTTAACTACCAAGTGCGCTTTTGTTTTATTGCACAGGCCCAGTTTTTCGTCGAACACATCTGGAAAAGATTGCTTAAGAAGTGAAATGTTTTGTGATTGCATATTAGGAGTTACACTTCCCCGATTTTCCATTGCCAACATATTGCAAATGGCATTGATAGACATGTTGTCGAGGTTGAAAGCTGTAATCCAGTCGAGGCCCAATACATTCAGATTTTTGATTGGTGTGACGAAACATGTTAGCTCTGCTCGCTGCTGTTTGAGTTCGACGTTGCAATCAAACTGCAATGACAGAGGCAGTGTGGCGCCTGTTGCGCTACGAGCTGATTGCTCGACTGCGGATGTGTTTGACACATTTAGCTTCTGGAAATTACTTTCCGATATTATTGTTATGTCCGATGCAGTGTCAAACTGCAAATCCAATTTCGTGCCATTGATTAGAACGCTGACGTATTTGCGTTGAGCTGATTCGATTTTATTGGAGACGAAAATACTTTTCGACTGCAAGTGGGACCCTTTGCCTTTGTTGTTGCGCTTCTGCTTTGAGTTTTGCCCATTTTTCTTCGAATAGCAGTAGCCCTCTTTGTGACCAACTGTATTGCATTGCTCACATTTATGCTTGCTGTATGTGCATTCGCGAGAGTAATGCATGGCGCCGCAAAACCAGCACGGAGTTTTAGGCAATGATTTTTTCTTTGCATTACTTGAATGCAAGCGCCTTACCTGGACTTCGCCCTTCAGATTTTCAACAAGATTTGTATCAGCTTTTAAGTTTATTAGACGTTGACACTCTTTTGACAAAGCATCAAGTGTGAGTGTATCAGCTTCGGTGTCTAGCTTGCTTAGCAACTTTGTTCTGATGTCGAAATCCGATTGGGACTTCAGCCCCATTATAAAAATCAAACACTTGAACTGATCAAGCCTGAGGCTATTCAGCTTGAAATTTTCGCAATGCCTGTTCGCCATGCCTGCGTAAGTGATGAGGTCTGACATTGGCTCCTTGGCAAGCTGCAAGCAATTGTACCTGATGTTGAATAGTGACGTTTGGAGCCCGAAAATTTGCTTGAGCTTTTCTACTGTTTCGGCGAAGGTGAAATCCCGAGGGTGCTTTGGCAAAATAAAATTTATGTACTTGCTGTGAACGACAGTATTGAGTTTACGAAATAGAAGCCTGGCTTTGGCTGCGTCGTCTAATTTCGCAGCGTCGACTTCGAAGAGATCTTCATATCGCGTGAACCACATGTCGAAAGTGAGGTTATGTTCTGGGTCGTGGCAGAACTCGCTTATGCTAGATGCAAGTGCTTCAATGGTGAACTCTGCACCTTTATCTTCCTTCATTGAAGAAGCGCTCGGTTGAAGTTGGCTAGAAAGAAGTTGTTTCACTAGCCTGGTTGTCACGTTCATGTTGTTCCTGCATCTGTGAAAATAAGTTACGGACATCGTTTGCGTCCATTATGGCGACTTATGCAAAAACAGGTTCCAAAATCCTCGTCGCCACTGTTACAACTCAAACGTTGTTGAGTTGCAATTTATAAAAGTTTATTTGAAAGTTAAAGGAAACAAATTACAATTATGAAATTAGAAAATAATTAAGGTTAAGCAGGCACAGGTTTATCGCTGTCGTCACTTCAGTGTCCGGGTTGCAAGCCACTCTCTCACATCTCACCGAGTGCAGGGTTGCACTCTCAATACACATTTTGCTACTTATTTGCGGGATGCCAACACATTCAATAACCCAAAATATTTGCAAGAGGGAGCGAATTCGAGAGCGTAACAACCCGAGAGAGCTGCAAATTCTTGCAAGTAAAAATTTTACTAGCAGGAATTTGCAGGAGTCAAAAAGTAAGGTTATGTTTCAAATTCAAATGTAAACAAACTGTTTAAGAGGAAGATTTGATGAAACATAATTAGTGAAATCAAATTAAATCTATTGTATATTTTTTTATTTTTATGACGATGGCAACTATTCCCAATTAAACAGAAAATTGCGCGCCAAAACTTAACCGTCAGAAAGTGTCAAAATGGCTTAAGTTGCAAGCTTTTACTATTTTGCGTTCAATAACCTTTTCTGAAAAATTTCTCTTGCTCTCAATTTTACTCTCTATTTTTCTTTTACGCTCTCGCTGCAAGTACTTACTGGAAAAGTTATTGAATGGACCTAATATTTCAGTATTTTTTGTGTTCATTACATTTTCAATGAAGTCTTCAAAAAGTCGCCTGAAGACGCTGATGTAATGTTAATGCCTTTTATTTTTATTTTCCTTGGTGAATTCTCAAATATTATGTTTCTTTGCATACAATTTTCTTCTTGAATGATATGCATGTGAATATTCACTCAAAATTGGAAATCCAATTACTTCAAGTTAAAAATATAGTACGAAATGTTATGTCGTTCCGCTAGGAATACTGCACTATGCGGCACCGGAACTGCGCGACACCACACGACGCGACATTTTTTCCTAGTTGGTCAACTTTGCCGCGCAGCGTTTGCATGTATTCTTATGGAGCATACCGCACTACGCTGCAGCGGAGCTACGCGACATGCACACACTTCTAGTCAAGGGTCTACACATTATTTTAACACCCACTTTTGTAATTTTTGATCACTAATTTATTTACAAATTGGGTTTGAAAAATTCCCTTTTTTGTAAAATTCGTAAATTAGCGTACATTTAAAGCAGCCACTTCACCAATATATTTTTATATTCCCCTTCACTTTACACTTTACTCGATTAGTTACAACTTTCTTTATGACTTTAATATTATGTTAATATGTTATTAATTATAACATTTTAAATGAAGTCTTCAAAAAGTCGCTTACTTTTTTCTTACGTTTTATGCTGCACAGCTTTTTTGATGCTTTTGCGAGCGTGCCTGCTGCAATATATCGGCTCTTCGTGAATTGGCTTTTAATGTGCAATTGCAAACATTACAGCAAGCGTCGTAGCCTCAAGTGTTTACACAACCAGCCTATGAATACGGGATCCTTAGTCCAAGAATCCAAAAAAAATCTTTTGAAGCAGCTGCAGCAAAACACAAAGATTATAAAGATTTATTAAGAAAATGATTCAAAATCAGATCTACTTATAAGATTTAGTAACAAGGAAAAATTACGGGAGGTTAAAAAACGTAATTTTTTACACAAAAAACGTCCAAACGTCAACAGGGTACAAAAAACGTCCAAATGACGTTAAAAACGTCAACCTGGCAACGCTGCTTGTGAGCCACCCCTAAATGATGCTGAGCGCTCTCTGAGCACATGTGTGTTTCACATACGAAGAGCGCCAGCTGAGCAATGCACACAGTCCCACTTATTGAATCGTTTGAATTCGCTAGTATGCCGACCATTGCATAAAAACCCCTGCAGTAAAATTTAGAGACAGTCTCTTAAAGCGCTAGTTCCGCCCTACACATTTCAGAACCATCTCTGATCTAGTGCAAAACGGCTGCAGAGAGGGACAGTTAAAACTTTCGGTGTGTTAGTTGCGCTCTGTTGAGAAGTAAATGCACAAATTCTCACTTCTCGTACAATACGAAAATAGCTCAGCGGGAAGACCTCCGACTCTAACATCGTTGGTCACGAGTTCAAATCGCGGTGGAGGCAGTTGTGATTTTCAGATTTAAGAAATTTAAATTAATGAGTGCCGCTTAAAAATTTAAGAGAAAGTGATCAAATTTAATATAAACAAAATAAAAAAAATATATAAAAATTTAATAGAATGCAATGCAAGAACAGAAAAAACGAAAAATATAAAAAATCTAATAATCAGAATTTTTTTAAATAAAAAACTTATTGTCGCAGATGTGTCCAAAATCGAACCAGTGCAGAACTAGTTCAAAAGTTCTGCAGAGGGGGGCAATTTCCACTTCGTCCCTGCAAAAATCGCGACTACTCCATGCATGCGTGTAAAGAGTACTCCCTAAGGATCAAGGAGTACTCCAAAATTAACCACAATTCATAAAAAAATATGGTCCTATTAACATTGCGAAGTCCTAGGACAGGACCATATACTCCATCCCTGCATTACATCAGAGTAGCACAAAACTACTCCAACATATTAACAGTGGCATTGTTGTTATATTTTTTCGTTTGTACACGCTTTTGTTCTTCACTTCTCAATTGCTTTTTCGAAATTAATAAAAACCAAGCCAAAAATTAAAAATTACATGTTGCCTCTGATGGAATTCGAACCCGAACATGCTGGGAGCTAAGAACTAACAGCGAGCATCTCTACACGTTCAGCTACAGCCAGACATGCAAATGTTCTTTCAAATGCTCAACTTCAATGACATTTCGTTAAAACACGAGCAGTGATCGGATAACAAACAATAAGCTGGCGCAGAGACACGAGTTGGTCCGATACAGGATGACAGAGGAACACTTTTGTAAGTACTCCAATTTACCACAAATAGACTACATGGTCCAACGATTTTTGCAGGGGTAGGACATCGCGATGTGAAAAGAGACAGTTGAAAGCATTGCGTTGGGATAGATTGAGAACCAGTACCGCCTCTTAAAGGGCTAGTTCTGCGCTAGTCTTGAACTAGCGCGATTTACTGCAGGGACGATTCAATGAATGAGACTGTGTGCGTGGAAATCATTGCTCCGCTACCGCTGTTCGTGTATGGGTGAAACACGCGTGTGGTCACAGAGCGCTCAGTATGCTATGGCATGTCGATCACTGCGCTAGGTAGAGAAAGAAAAATGTGTGCTATGACATGCCCAGACTTGTTTGTCTCAGTTTCAGTTTTGCCATCGCCGCGAGTTGTTTCGGTGTGCGCATAGTTATTTAAAAATATAAAGTTTGATGCCAAACGGGATTTCTCAGTGGATATATTATTCATGCGAATTATAATTTGAAAGTATCTATTTAGCCAAGGAAAAAGCAAAGCAGTATACTTAAACCAGCACTTCCAGCAGATATTGACCTGGGTTTTTGCACGACTGTTCCTGTTTCATCGTTTCTTTTTAGGAAATTCTTACCACCATATAATAATATAATAGATTGGCGCTTACACATATGTTAGTGTTTGGCCGAGCTTCTCCTCCGATTTGTGGCGTGCGCCTTGATGTTGTCACACAAAGCGGAGGGACCTATAGTTTTACGCCGACTCCGAACGGCGGATATATTTTTATGAGAAGCTGTTTTTCATGGCAGAAATGCACTCGGAGGTTTGCCATTGCCTGCCGAGGGACGACCGCTGTTAAGAAAAAAACCGTTTTCTATATTTTTTTGATGTTGCTTTGACTAGGGCTTGAACCCAGGCATTGTGGAGTGGATGCGCGCACTGCTTACCACTACACCACAGCGGCCGACCATACCACCATATACATATGTATTATTTACACTAAGTAGCAACTATTTATGTAAATATGTATGTGTTTTTTATGCTTAATATATGCAAACAAAAGAAGAAAGGAAACACAACAACAATCGAGTAAATTTTTATTTGTGTCAAACTGAAACTTTTTTTCTAATAATAAACGGTTAGCTGATTCAAGTCTACAGCAAGTTCACAAAATTAATTGAAAACTTGTATCAAACGAAGCATTGTTTATACCTGCTCAACAACGATTTTATTCAACTAACAATATTGTCCACTCAAGGTAATCGTTTTGTAATTATTAACAAATATACATTTGTCCCAACTAGATGTCTCAAGTAAATTGCAGACTTTCGTGAACTAGCATTTATGTATACTTTTTTGTATATCTATCTCGATTCGTTTTGGCTGTTACAAACAACCCTTATGTGAACAAAATTATAATACTCTTGTGCACATGTGCACTCGGGTATAAAAGTTTCCCCGCCCTATTATGTACATATGTATGTAATAAAATATTTAAATTTGTAAAGTCTTTTATTAGTCTATAAAACATATATGTAATA